CTTTCTTGAGTTATAACGAGTTATAACTCATCATACAGTCTCAGGGCTTTAACAAAAGCCAGTATGTGAGACGGCTCCACAGAGGCCAGCTCTGCATCCTCGACATCAGACGTACCAAAGTTCATGGCACGAACGGTCGTCGTCTCGACGCACTCAGTGATAAGGTGTTCTGGTATTTCCCCATTTTGCCCACAGAATCTGCATTCGCCGTTGTTTCTCAGCTTCAGCTTACTGAGGTGTTCGTTGAGGAGACAGTGTCCTGTTAGAAATCCCGTGACAATCCGAAGATTGTTTTTACTTAAATCAAGGAAAACCTTTGATTTTTCTCGGTCGTAAGTTCTGAGGAACTTTTTCCACGCTTCCAGTAAGGATTGGAAATTATACAAGCGATGAAAATAAAAAATAGAAATTTACTAGTCTGATTCATAACCTTCAAATACTTCTTCCTCTTCTCGATGTTCGTTTTGCTCGCTTTTTTCATCCTGGATGAAAGTAAATTGCGCCAATAGTGATGTATCGCATGTTTCTTCGTTAATATCAAATGAATAGTCTACTATTGATGATTCAACATTAGAGCATGACCGGCCTTGTCAGTTTGTACATGACAGAGAACAAAGCAGCCCAACTTTTTTACAACCACATTTAGCACTGCATCCCTTTTTACAGTTGCAAAAAATTGTGTTTAGCAGTTTTTCCGGCACAGGTGGGAGTAAACTCTGAATTGGTACTGTAGTAAGGTGGGAGTAAACTCTGGTAATACTGACGTCGTATCACAGCCAGTTATTGCGTGTAAAAATAGTACATGATTTTGACTCTTTGTAAAACTAGTTGCACTGTTTTGTTTTCGGGCATGTACAAATTGTCAAGGTCGGTCATGTTCTAATGTTGAATCACCAGTAGTAGAGAATTCGTTTGACACCAACGAAGAAACATGCGATATATCACTATTGACGCAATTTACTTACATCCAGGATGGAGAAAACGAACAAGGCGATTTCTGCGATTACAGTTGGTCAATATTACCTCTTTAACTTTGTTGAAAAAAATCAAAACTACACAGCTATCTATAGGTCCTTAAAGAAAGAAATTATTAGTACCGTATGATCGAATAAAAACGGCGTCGGCGATGGCTATGAAATGACGATCGATGACATTTCCCATATAATTTTATATATAAAATGACAGCGATCTTCATTTCATAGCCATCGCTGACGCCGTTTTTATTCGATCATACGGTATAAGTGTAGTAATTGTTGACCTTGATTATTGTAACTTGGATATATTACAGGAAAATAAAGTCACTTAGAGGGGGTCTGAAAAAAGTGCCAGCCAATGAGAAAGCACCCTTTTAAATGGAACACCCGTATATTGTGTTATATTTGGATTCTCTTGCGAATTCTAGATACACTTGGAAAAATTGCAATTTTCCTTCTTTGACTTGCTACAGAATGCAAATGACGAAGAATACACCGAAATTGTTTACATGCTCCTAGCTTAGTTTTTCATAAGCTACCGAATGACACTACAGTAACTTCCATTGCAGTCCTTGGATTAAAACTCCTGATAAATTTTAACATCGGGATAAATTTAAAGTTATTTTCATTCGATAGCTTAACTAAGGTAGCAACATGTAAACCATTTAAAAATTGAAACTTGTACCAAGATACGTATGATTGCCAAAGTAAAAAAATAAAAAGAAAACTTAACTAGAAATAAAAGAACTCCAGGTATATACGAGTATAAAATATCTATTTGTTTTATTCTTTTAGTGAATATGTAACTAAATGTATTGCTCCAAGTTACACATTACCAGTTAGAATCTTAAACTACAAAATATAGTAATTTATGTAATAATCACAATTTTGCTTTAGCACAAAATTATTCTTTGTCGGTTTATACAAAAGGAAAAACTAATACTAATTACATAATATATTATCTTATAATATTTACACCATTCTCCATTTTAAATACACTAAATAAATACGACATTTTGAGTGTTTTGTCACAATCTATATTAGTTCAACCAGTTCAAGTACCTCTTTCTTTCCACTTAGAACGCCATAATTAAATTGTTATATTGTTTAACAAGAAGAATATACAGTATGTTCAAGACAGTTGGAGGACATGTGGGAAAATGTTTCAAAGATTTAATGACGAAAAAATACCCACATCTGAGCAAACTGCAAACTGGTCTAACTTAATATATATTGCAATTGTATATTCTTTTTCTACATCATGAACAGTCTTCTCTCATCCTTATATCTAATCTACGATTTTTTATTTAAGTTACTTAATTATTATTACTTGGAGTTAACTTTAATACCGATTTTTCATTGTTGTACGATCAAGCCGGTTATTCAAACTTATTTCTATATTGCATGTTTCTGTACGTAAATTTAACAAAATATTAATAAATTATTAATACTAAACAATCATAACTTTCATTGCAAATAAAATGTCATTCCTAGTATTCGTCTATACATATACAGGGTGTCCCAGATTGAGCGTGCATTAGAAGTTTCTAGAGAACTACAATATGTAGATCGGAGATTTTTTGCACATCATTGTTTCACAACGAGATCTATCGATTAAAAATTCTTTCAATATGGCAGCACTTCCGGAAATATCGGAAGTAGACAGCAACTTTCTTATTTTAAATAGGTTCCCCCATTTTTATAACATATAGTTAAATTTTCTGTAAAATTTTATGAATTTTATATTTTGAGAAAATGAAAATGGTGTCATGGAATTGTGCGATTAAAAAATTATTATAAATCATTTTTTTTCAAATGGAAACTCACTTTTTTATTTCACTACTGAAAAGTTTTTTTAATTCGTTACTTTTTGATTATACATGTTCCTATACCTAAAATAAATCGTTTTTAAGTTACTTAAGATTTAGTTTTAAAGGGTATATATTTTTTGTGTTTTAACCAGTAGTTTATGACTTGAACATTGATATGAAACATCACGCGATGTAAAACTATATCTGGTCATGTCATATTGCCATTTACAGCTGTCACTAAAATACGAGATATATTATTATAATTACACTTTATAAAGTTTTACCAGCTGTATTTATAATATACGAAATTCAAATAATTAGTTTTTTGACAGAAGGAAATAAATTGTCGGATGGTTTGACACAATGTCAATGGAAGCTAGATAAAATCAAGAAAACATTATAGTCAAGAGCTAGCAACGCGTGAGAGAAAGTATTTAAGACGTCTGGCTTTGATATATCTTACTATGCTCTTGGAACAGCATGCGGCATGTCTGGCTAGCCGATACCCGTTGCGTTCACTATTGTGCAGCATCGAAAGAAGATCCTATATTTTTATTACATTTAGTCCCTATAAATTCTAGAATTGAATATAAATCGAACATGTCTCCATAGCGCAGTGCGTGAGTTTCTGGTAGTAAAAAAGAAATATATACTTTTACTATCAGAATATAAACGAAAATAAAATAAAAAAGTCTTTGCCCTGGCCCGGATTCGAACTCTGAATCATCGGTTCGTGGTCGGAAACTCACGCACTGCGCTATGGAGACATGTTCGATTACTATTCAATACTTCAGAATTTAAAGAACTTATAAAAACATAGGATCTTCTTTCAATGCGCAGTAGGGAACTCAACGTTTACCGGCAGCCAGACGGGCCGCATGCTGTTCTAGAGAGCATAGTAAAAGATATATCAAACAGCCAGACGTCTTAAAATACTTGTTTTTCCGACGTTGCTAGCTCTCGTACTATTACTAATTCAGTCATTGGGGATTTTTGCTTGGAAAAAAGTCCGGAAGTTTTGCAACTTTGCAGGTTTATAGGTTTTGGGGTCCCTAACTAAAATCCATAAAATGCACATTTCCAGACTTGCCGCCGGCGCCGCCATCTTCCCAAGATGGCGCCCAAAATCGGTATTTTGTGAATATCTCGAAAACTATACGTTTTTCGCGAAAATTTGAGGAAAAAAAAATTATTCATAAATTAATGAGCGAATTAATGATACGCCACTGTTTCATGACAAAATTGAAGAAACTAAACTAAAACTAGTTTTAGTGAACCCTAATCGACATTTGATTTCGGAAAATCGACTATACATGATATATCATATTTTACGCAAAATTGTAAAATTTCCAGGGATTTTGTGCCTAAACGGTTGACTTTAGCAAAAATTCTCATAAAACCTTTTTATGTGAAATTTTATTCTCTCTAATTTTGCTGTCCTCAAATTTTCGCGAAAAACGCATAGTTTTCGAGATATTCATAAAATACCGATTTTGGCGCCGGCGGCAAGTCTGGAAATGTGCATTTTATGGATTTTAGTTAGGGACCCCAATACCTATAAACCTGCAAAGTTTTAAAACTTCCTGACTTTTTTCCAAGCAGGCCCCTTTTTTGATCCCAAATGACTGAACTATACGCTTTAAAATTAAATCTTAAATAACTTAAAAACGATTTATTTCAGTAATAGGAACATCTCTATCAAAAAGTAATGCATGTAAGTAATATTGAAAAACCTTGTCACTAGTTTTTTTTTACTAGTTTTCACTTTTTTTTAAAAAAGGGGGTTTCCATTTGAAAAAAATATGATTTATGATAATTTTTTAATCGCTGAATTCCATGACAGCTACGGCCAATATTATATGACATTCGAACAACTTAATTTTTGAAATAGATAGCCACATGTCTTCTCTTTTTGTCACAGTGGCTGGGTTAATCACTAAATTTGTCGTTTAGGTTATACAGATTTTTTGACAGGCAGTTTTTTCCTCCAAAAAATTTAAATATTTTTTCTCTCAAAAATGATTAATGTTAGTTATACAGAGTGTTTGATATCAAAATTCATAAAATTTTACAGAAAATCCAAGTATGTAATAAAAAGAGGGGTACCCATTTAAAATAAGAAAGCTACTGTCAACTTCCGGTATTCTCGGAAGCGCCGCCATATTGAAAATATTTTTAATCGATAGATATCGTTGTAAAACAGTAATGTGCAAAAAATCTCACTAGAAACTTCTACTGCACGCTTAGCCTGGGACACCCTGTATTACCCCCATAACAACATATAGTTTAGTAATTTTAATTAAGTTAGAATAACCGTTCAGTTCTCAACTTTCATGGTAACAACCTTGGATTAAACCTGCCCATGTGCAAGATCAAACCCGTAGGATTGTGCCTGATGAAGTAAAGAAACGGTCTGTCGAAACGTAGTCGTGGAACGTCGGGTATTCTCGCCTGTCTCGGTCGTTGGGACAATGGAAGAGCTAGAAGAGTGGGATCGTAGAATGGATCATGGAAAGCTCTTTGGTAGTCTCTTGGTTCTTGTTCTTCTAGGTCTGTAGGTACGTTCTGGAGATACCTGGCTCTCCTAAAAAAAATTAAATTAACTAATTTAAAGTATATAGATATTGTTACCAAGCAAGGAAGACAAGACTGTTTAATCCCATAAAACTTATTTTATGGCATATTATCATACGCATGTATTAGTATGAGAGCTAAAAACGTCGGAAAAACAAGTATTTTAAGACAAATGGCTCTTTGATATATTTTACTATGTTTGGAACAGCAGCCGGTCCGTCTGACTGCCGGTAAACGTTAGCTACTGCGCATTGAAAGAAGATCCTACATTTTATTAGTCCTTTAAATTTTAGTATTGAATATAAACGACCGGAGTCTCCATAGCAGCTCAGCACGTAGAGGTTCTGCCTATCAAGCGAGAAATCAGAGTTCTGAATCCGTCAGTGCAAACACTTTTTATTTTATTTTCGTTTATATTCTAATAGTAAAGTATTAAATATTTGTTTTTTTTTAATCATCAGAATTATTTAATACTTTACTATCAGAGTGTAAACGAAAATAAAATAAAAAAGTCTTTGCCCTGACCCGGATTCAAACTCTGAATCCTCGGTTCGTAGTCGAAAACTCTACGCAGTGCCCTATGGAAACATGTTCGATTTATATTCAATACTAGAATTTATAGGACTAAATTAAAAAAAAATATAGGATCTTCTTCCAATGCGCAGTAGTGAACGCAACGGGTATCGGCAGCCAGACGGGCCGCATGCTGTTCCAGAGAGCATAGTAAAAGATATATCAATGAGCTATTAAAGACCGCTGATTAAAAACGCTAATTTTTAATCAACGAACCGTGGTAAAATAGATTTGATCGTTTAATGTTTTTAGTGTCTTGTCCTGGCCGGTTAAAAGATACCCATATCGTATTTTTAATCATATATGATTTCTTTCAAATGTAACGAGGGTGGCTCATTAGCATATTTGGAAAAATATTTTTTTACGAATAATTTGGTACCACACACTTGGTATTTCGAGCCAAACTGTCATTATAAAACAAACATGTTACAATTTCAAATAAACCATATCCGAAAATGTCAAAAGATGGAATATGATATGTCATTCTATTGAGAGTGTCACTTTCTATCGAATAAAGTAAAAAATACCGAGGGTGCCATTTAAAAATCAAAAGTTGCAGTCATTTCCGGTGACACAGGGAGTGACCGAAAACAACTGAATACGGCAATCAATCCTCATTTAAGTCAAATACTAACATAGTAAATCTCGTTTTTTTATTAAAAAAAAAACAAAAAAGCTACAAGGGTGAGCCACTTTTGAGACGCGCCCGGTATAGATAAATAGAATAGAAATTAAAACATATCTTTTTAATAATTTTTACAGTGGAAAACGCACAACAATTTCAAATTTATGAACATTTTTTTCGGAAGAGTGCAAGAATGTTGCAAAAAAACTGTTTTTTTTCTACGTTTATACGATACGCAACTACGACAACAATTTTTAATCAAAGAGCCTTGGAAAAATATATTTTCGTGCCTTGTCGTGACCGGTTAAAAAATGCCCAAATCGTATTTTTAATGATATCGCAATTTTTTCAAATGGAACAATGATGGCTCATTAGCATAATTTGGAAAAGGTATTTTTTACGAATTATTTGGTACCACAGACTTGGTGTGTTTCGAGTCAAATTGTCGTTATGAACCGCATGTTACAATTTCAAATAAACCGTACCCGAAAATGTCAAAAGTTGACGTATGATATGTCATTTAATTCAAAGTGTAATTTTCTATCGAATAAAGTAAAAATTACCGAGGGTGCCATTTAAAAATCAAAAGTTGTAGTAATTTCCGGTGAAACAAGAAGTGACCGAAAGCAATTGAATACGTTAATCAATCCTAATTTATGTCATATACTAACATACCAAAGCTTGTTTTTAATCTGAGAAAATAAAAAAGTTATAGAATGCAATATTTTCAATTTCGCCCCATAAAGGCCATGAAAAAGTAACAAATATTCGCGAGAATTTATTTTTAGCAAACGCGGATATATCCGACTGGAGAACTAAAATAGAATACCCTATACATAGGCCTTTGATTCTGTCGAAGGTAATTTTGATAACATTCTATCGATATTCGTCATTCAGCATCCTTACCTAGCTTTCAAAGATGTTGCAGGATATATCTCCGAATGGTGCGACTCTCTGCGAATTTTTCTGTCCCCGCAAGTAGCAAAATTGTTGATTTGCAGAATGTCCGCTAGGTGGAGTTCGTTGGGAATGCCGTTCAGGCCTCTCAGATCCGCCTGTTCTGGATGGAACAACTCGTGTAGACCCATCTTCTTCAACGTTGAGGTGGCGTTGATGATCGATTTGTGGGAGAAACGAGGTATTTGACTTCCAAACCTGGTCGTGGGATCAGGGAACGTAGCAATCTGGACCATGCACCTGGAAGATAGAAGAGTTTGATATACAGGGTTGTTCACCACATACGACACGAGGGTATTATAGCTAAACGATTAGATTTTTACAAATTGTAAGTTTTGGGTTCGTTGAAGGATTATTAGAGCAAAAATTTAAAAGTAATTTTACAAGATACAGATACAAAATTGTACTAACTTAAACAGAGTGCCCAAAATTTTATATTAAATAATGGCTGTACTTAAACTGCCGTTAAACGGTAGCTTACTAAAAAATGCCGTTAATAGGTATGACGTCGTTGATGTGACGCACTTGACGCGCTTTATGAAATATAGGAATTTTATAAGGACTAACCAAGGCTACCCACCACACCAAATAACCAGCTTAACCAACGCAACTAACCTCGACACTGATAAAAAAAAATATAAAAGACAAATATAAATTAGTAAAAACCAACCAACCCCACCAAATAACCAACTAATCAATGAATTAACACCCTCCAAATAACCACGCTAACCAACCCGCCAAATAACTAAAACCAATCCAACCAAAAAGAGTGAAACCAATGAGAAAAAATAAGATCACGTTATAAGCAAAAAAAAATATAAAAAAGTCTTGGTCGGCGTGAGATTTGATCCACGGACCATGCGCTCACGAAGCGATAGCCTCAGCCACGGAGCCACAGGTGCTCTTGTAAAACGCTTATAGGCAGGCATTACTTTCCGCAGACATGAACGACGTCAGAATATTTATTAACGGTATTTTAGTAGACTACCGTTTTAACGGTGTTTAAGTACATCGTTAAATAATTACTAGCTTTTAACGGCAATAACTTAATTTAAGTGGAACACCCTATATATTTTACGAGAATCAGATGCACAATTTAATTGTCTATTAAATTGTATCACACCATTTTTTACCTATCTCCTAGTTTTCGTAGAAAATGCTTTTTCTTATAATTTAGACCTAATTGATCACTATACCCATGGAATATTGACATTTTAGATTATTTTTAAAGATGTAACAGATTTTCAAAGAGTACAGATACTAATATTGTCGATATAGTTCGCTTATTTCATTAAAAAAATTAAAAAAAACTGTTTAAATATTTTTTGTTAAAGAGGACCAATTAATATGATCCCAGTATTCAAAATACATTAATTGAGTCTTTACGTTGATTAATAATAATAGCTCCAAATACTAAAAAACTGAATTTTGTATGTGTATTAGACAGTGTTAAAAAGTAACACCTTATAAATTCTGTTTCATTTTTTGACGAATGCTTATTTTATAACAACAGAGACGTTCATTTTCCTAACTTATTATTATATTGATTTTTCAGCCAAATCCGCATTTATTTAGAATAATTTAACTAATTAATTAACTAATTTTTGGATGGAAATAATTGTGGTATATTTAATGGGTGTACTCTTTTACAAAGATTTAAATAGTTTTCTTTTTGTAAAAAAATGGGCTTGCAATATTATTATTTTTACCACCTGTACATTTTGTACATATTATGTTAAAAAATCTAAAATGTCAATGGGCAAAGCCATGGGTATAGTGATAAATGAGGACTAAATTAAAGAACAGCGACAGAATACAATTTCTAGATATATGTATGTATGTATACATGGTATGATTGTAGAAAGAAATTATCATGAAATTATGTTGATGTTAGGCAAATCTAGAAGGTATAACAAATTTCACTGAGCGAATAGTTTAATTAAGATACATATAATAAAGCAGGTAAATCTGCTTTATTTGTGCACTGCACAACATACCAGGTGCGTCTCAAAAATGGCTCACCCCTATAAGTATTTTTTCAGATAAAAATACGAGATTTGGTATGTTAGTATATGACATAAATTAGGATTGACTTTTAATTTTTAAAGGGCACACTCGGTATTTTGTTACCTTATTCGATAGAAAAATGACACTCTGAACTAACATATTATATGTCAACTTTTGACATTTTCGAATATGGTTTATTTGAAATTGCAATGCGATTCATAACGACAATTTGACTCGAAATACCAAGTGTGTGGTACCAAATTATTCGTAAAAATCCTTTTTCCAAATATGCTATGAGTCACCCTCGCTCTACTTGAAAAAATTGAGATATGATTAAAAATACGATTTAGGCATCTTTTAACCGGCCAGGACAAGACACGAATAACATTAGACTATCAATTCTTTTTTTCCAAGTCTCCTTGATTAAAAATTAGTGTTTTTAACACAGTCATGGCACTCTAGAATGAAATTTAAAATTCAAATTTGTTTTAAGCGAAAATGTCGAAAGTTGACATATGATATGTCATTATATTCAAAATGTAATTTTCTATTGAATAAAGTAAAAAAATGCCAAGGGTGCCATTTAAAAATCAAAATTTGTAGTAATTTCCGGTGAAACAGGAAGTGGCCGAAAAAAATTGAATACGTCCTATAAACCTAACCTCCCCCTCGGGGTCTTTCACCTTGACGTGGTGAGTGGGGCTCAGTAACCTTCAATGTCCAGGGAGCGATGCCGGCGGTAGCGTAGCTACTGGTAGGGCCACCCTTGCCGGTAAGGTCTCGAAGTGACGAAGGTGAAGCTAAGAAAGACCACAACGGTGCAGCGTCTGACCCAGAGTGGGCGGCTGCCAACAGCGTCTGATCCATAGTGGGCGGCTGAACTTACGCATCAGGAAAGCAACGGGAAACTACCTGATGTATGAGACCTTCCCAGGATTATCATTATGGCTGACGAATTAAAAAACGGCCCTGAGTACGGGCGCCCCTTAAATGGGGCAGGTGCGAAGAATCTCCCGTTCGGCCACAATTGACCTTAAATCCAAACTTAAGATAGGTACTTGGAACCTACGTAGTCTATACGAAGCGGGAAAAACCCATAACACAATACAGGAGATGAAAAAGACTCGATATCCCGATCCTAGGGGTTAGTGAAATGCGCTGGCCAAACTCCGTAAATGCAACATAGAAGAACATACTGTGTACTACTCAGGAGAGGACAGTAACTATCATATCAATGGTGTTGCTTTTATAGTTTCCAAACATGTCGAGAAGTGCGTTAAATCCGTGTGTTACGTTTCTGATAGGGTCATTATGTTACAACTGAACTCGAGACCTGTTGACATCAACCTTATTCAAGTATATGCACCAACCTCAGTCAGTGACGAGGAGGAAATTGAAAAATTCTACGATACCATCAAGAGCGTCACTGACAAAATCAAGAAGAAAGATATTACCATTATTATGGGAGACCTCAACGCCAAAGTTGGCCAAGGTAGAGAGGATAAGGTCGTAGGTGACTTTGGACTCGGTATACGTAATGAGAGAGGAGACCGATTTGTTGAATTCTGCAGGGATAATAATTTGTGTATTATGAACACCTTCTACAAACTCCCGAAGAGAAGGCTCTATACTTGGAAACATCCATCAGATAGTCCAGAGAAACCTGTCAGAAATCAGATTGACTATATCACCATCAATGAACGTTACCGAAACTCAGTACAGGCAGTCAAAACTTTTCCTGGAGCCGATGTCCCTTCAGATCATGTCCTCCTAGTAGCGAGGTTCAAGCTCAGATTAAAGAAAGTCGAAAGAAAACAACCGTCAAAAAAGTTAAATGTCGACTATATACGGGACAATCACGAGGTAATTATGAACACTCTGGAAAATAAGTGTGAGGAAAAAATACTTGACTGCAACATTGAAGACCACTGGAATAAGTTTAAAAATATAGTATCAGAAACAACATCTAATATACCTATAGCCCAACAGAAGAAACAGAATTGGATGAATGACGATATTCTGCACCTAATGGAGGAAAGAAGATCATTTAAAAATCAAGACCAACAAAAGTACCAACTTATTAATAAAGAAATTCGGAAGAAAATACGAGCGGCAAAAGAGGCATGGTTTGTGAATCAATGTAAGGAGGTTGAAGAGTTACAGAAGAGACATGATACCTTCAACTTACATAAGAGGGTTAAAGAGTTAACGGGTGTGAATACCAACAGAACTCATAACCTTGTTGACAAGGATGGTAATCTCATTGTAAATGACATTGATAAACTGAGAAGATGGAAAGAGTACATCGAAGAATTGTTTGATGACGAGAGAATAGAAAATGTGATACAACAATGTAATACAGGCCCTATGATAACAATGGGTGAACTAGAGAAGGCTATAAAAACAGCAAAAAATAGAAAGGCAACGGGTCCGGATGAAATACCATCGGAAATACTCAAATGTCTCGATATTAAAGGAAAACAGTCGCTACTATCGCTTTTTAACAAAATATACGAATCCGGAGTTATACCAACTGACTGGATCAAGTCAACATTCGTAATGATCCCCAAAAAGGGAAACTCTAGGAAGTGCTCTGATTACAGAACTATCAGTTTAATGAGCCACGTCCTAAAAATTTTCCTTCGAATTATACATTCAAGAGTATATGCCAAAATAGAGGAACAAATTAGCGAGACACAGTTCGGATTCCGCAACAATCTTGGAACTAGAGAAGCACTTTTTTGCATCCAAGTCCTTGTTCAAAGATGCAGAGATGTCGATCACCCTGTCTTTATGTGCTTTATTGATTTCGAAAAAGCATTTGACAGGGTAAAACATGATAAATTGGTTGCGATTTTACGGGAAGTGGGCATTGATGATAAGGATCTCCAAATAATTAGAAACCTTTATTGGAATCAGCAGGCAAGTGTTAAAATTGGCAAAAATACCTCGGAAACAATAGCAATCCGTAGAGGTGTGCGACAGGGATGCATTATGTCGCCACTACTTTTTAATCTTTACTCTGAATTCATCTTCAGGGAGGCGCTCGAGGAAATCGATGGCGGTGTCAAAGTGAATGGAGTTAATGTCAACAACTTAAAATATGCTGACGATACCGTTTTGTTAGCCAGTAGTCCGGAAGAACTGCAGTTGCTGTTGGATAGAGTTACAAGTACATGCGATGAGTATGGGTTAAAACTTAACACTCAAAAGACTAAGCTTATGACCGTTAG